GAAGGAAACAGCTAACAGCAGCGCCCACTGCAACCATGGAGCAGCTCCAGCGCCAATGGAAGGAAACAGCTAACAGCAGCGCCCACTGCAACCACGGAGCAGCTCCAGCACACCTGATGCAAGGCGCTTCTGTTCCATGTTGTGCTGGCTACAGCTTCCTGTGAAATCTGAGCCCCTTCTAAGCCATCCATTTCTGGGCCACCACTCTGAGCTGTGTTAGGGGACCCACATAAAGTTTCTTTGTATCTTCATACATAGTCTCCAGTTAGTTCCTTTTTTAATGATTTATCTGTTTTTATTTTATGTACACTAGTGTTTGGCCTGCATGTATGTCTGTGTGAGGATGTCAGATCCCCTGGAACTGGACCTATGGTCGTTGCAAGCTGCCATGTGGGTGCTGGGAATTGAACTTGGGTCCTTTGGAAGAGCAGTCAGTGCACCTAACAGCCCTCTCCTTTTAGTTAAGAATTCTCTTGGGGAGGCAGAGGCAGGCGGATCTCTGTGAGTTCGAGGCCAGCCTGGTCTACTAGAGCTAGTTCCAGGGGCTGGAGAGATGGCTCAGTGGTTAAGAGCATTGCCTGCTCTTCCAAAGGTCCTGAGTTCAATTCCCAGCAACCACATGGTGGCTCACAACCATCTGTAATGATGTCTGGTGCCCTCTTCTGGCCTGCAGACATACACACGGACAGAATATTGTATACATAATAGATAAATAAATATTTAAAAAAAAAAGAGCTAGTTCCAGGACAGGCTCCAAAACCACAGAGAAACCCTGTCTCGAAAAGCCAAAAAAAAAAAAAAAAAAAGAATTCTCTTGGGGATTTTAAATTTGAAACGGAACATTAACTTTAATTCAGTGTCTACTCAGGTTTCCATTAGGCTGTAGCATAGAAAGTTCTCATCAAGCTCTCTGAGGTTTAAGAGAGTTTGAATCTTCTTCATATCTGAAAATGTCCTTTCATGACTGCTTCCCCCTGAATCTCCTGCCACGTCGCTAACCTCTGCTTATCTGCTTTCCGTATATAAGGCTTGTTTTTTTCTTCTTTTTCCTTCTTTTTGAAAACCATTCTGCAGGGCAAGCAGTGCATATAGGCAGTCTCAGCTGCTCAGGGCTGAAGACGAGGGGATCACTGGATCCCACAAGTCTGAGACTAGCCTGACCAACACACAGTGAGATTCTGGTGGTTTTGTTTGTTTGTGGTCTTGGTTTTGGTTTCTTTGAGACAGGATTTCTGAGTAAAACAGTCTTGACTATCTTGTAAACATGACTGTGGAGACCAGGCTGGCTCGAACTCACAGAGATCCGCCTGCCTCTGCCTCCCAAATGCTGGGATTAAAAGTATGTGCCACCACCTGCCCGCTCCTAGCGAGACTCTGTAGAATGCACATACATCAGAAGAATCATTAACATTGTCAATGTACCTGTTTAGACTTGCTTCCCACTCGGAAGCAGTCGCCTGAAGTTCACACAAGCTCTCTGTTATCGCTGAGTAGGGGCTCCGTGGTGTGCTACAGCGGGGTTTACTCATTCTCTCCTATCTTGCCATTGCAAATGAAGCTTCATGAATGTTTCTGTGCCACTTTTTGTTAAATACAATAAAGATTTCATTGACCTGGGTCACCCAAGAGCCACGTGGTACATAAATTCTTTTATTCACTTACTTGTTTATTTATTTTTGAGAGAACAGCCCTGTGTTGCCAAGGCTGAGTTGGAACTTACTATGTAGCCCAAGCTAGCCTCAAACCCATGATCCTCCTGCTTTGGCTTCAGCCTACGATTACAGGCATGCATGCCCACATCTGAAATGAATGCTGCTTTATAAGAAATTGCAATTTTTAAATTTTATGCCATTCATTGTGGTGCAATCCTACAACCCTAGCAGCTAGGAGGTAGAACTAGGAGAATCAGAAGTTCGGGGTCAGCCTCAGCTATATAACCTATTTAAGCTAACCTGAGCTACCTGAGACTCTGTCTCAAACCACTCCCCACAAAAGAAATTGCAAATCTGCAGGACATGGTAGCACACACCTTTAATCCAAGCACTCGGAGGCAAGGGCAGGTGGATCTCTGTGAATTCAAGTCCAAGAGGTCAGCCTGGTCTATATAGTGAGTGCCAGGGCAGCCAGGGCCATGTAGAAAGATCTATCTCAAAAAAGAAAAGAGGAAATTAATTGCAAATCTATAATCAAATACATATAAATTAAGAACTTATATATCTAATACACTGTTATCCCTGTGCAAATGGAAGAAATAAGTTTAACACTTCTAGGCCAATAAAATTATGGTATGGTATCAAATCAACATGGTAAATTGGCAGAGTTTTTTCAAAGCTGAGAGCATGACTGAAGTTCCTAGAAAAATCTGAATCTCAGAATAGCATTTCTGACATTTATTCCGAGGAGCAGCGTATGACATATTCAGTTTTTCACATCCTTATCAGCACTTGTCATGGTTCTTATTGGTTTTCATGGTTTGTGACCTCAGTTTGGAAAGCTCCCCATCCTGGACTCCAGGAGTTCCCAAGGGCAGATCTGGGCAAACTCTCAAACTTCAGCAAAAGTTTAGGTGGCCTATTAGACCTCCATACTCACCACCCCATCTCCTTTATTTACACAACCCCAAAGATCATTCAGCAAAGCCAGTGACGCTCTCTGAGCAAGCACAGGCTGAAGACCTCAGTGTGTGGTTACTGAACTTCTGGCCATGGCAGACAAGAAGCCCCACCCCCTGAGAAACTCTCAGGTTTGAGACACAAAAGGAAACAAGATTGACATGTCAGGGTGCCAGGCAGGTAGCTTTAATAATTACCCCCTGGGAAGGCAGGGAGACAGCCACCTATAATTCTAACTCTGTCTGCAGGAAGCAGAGAGATTCCCAAAGGAGGGTCTTTTTATCTGGAGGAGAAAAGACAGGAAACTTAGTTTTTAAAACTTCAAACTTCATGAATAAGGGAGCAGGGGACGTACACTATATATATAATGTAATATATATATATGTAATAAATGTAATAATGTAAATAAATAATGTAATAAATGTAATAATGTTTTATTGTCAGTGGGAACATTGACAGGAGTAGCCTTAGAAGCATGTGGACCAGCTAACCTGATGTATGCAGCAGCTAACAGGAGACTGTCTCACAGGGTGGAAGGCAGGGACTAATGCTAGGGACTGTCCTCTGACCTTCACAGTCTGTGGCATACACACCATATGCACACACACACACACACACACACACACACACACACAGGATTCATGAAGATGGGGAACAGCTTACCTTGGACTGATGTCTGTGATAGACCTGGGAAGTGATCTGGTGTGGCTAAAACAGACAAGAGTGGGGGCAGGGTAGAGTGTTTAGGAACTTGGAGTTTTGTTAAAGGAAGTGAAACGCTGGAGACTTTGAGTCAAGTCACCGCATAATCCAGTTTTTATCATAAGTAGATCACGGTGGTTTTGGGGGCTCTTTCCTCAGCCTACTAGCTCATTTATTCTCGGGTGCTTTTTTCCTAGAGTGCTGCCCCCAAACCAGCTATTATATAAGTTCTGCTGACGTCAAGTGATACTAAGGTTCCGAGCCCCATGACGTAACAATGTGACTGTATCTGTTACTTTCTGTGGCTGTGATACACATCCTGACCAAAAGCAACTTGATCTGGGAAGGGCTTATTAAAATAAAGTTCACACTTCCAAATCATATTGTCACTGAGGGAAGTTGGCAGGAACCTGAAGGCAGGAACTGAAGCAGAGACCAGGAAGAACTTACTGGTTTGTTTCCTCATGACTTGTTCAACCTGCCTTTTTTGGAGGGGTTGTTTTTTTTGTTGTTGTTGTTGTTATTTGGTTGGTTGGTTGGTTGGTTGGTTGGTTTTTTCTTTTTTTTTTTTTTTATTTTTTTAAATATTTATTTATTATGTATACAATATTCTGTCTGTGTGTATGTCTGCAGGCCAGAAGAGGGCACCAGACCTCACTACAGATGGTTGTGAGCCACCATGTGGTTGCTGGGAATTGAACTCAGGACCTTTGGAAGAGCAGGCAGTGCTCTTAACCACTGAGCCATCTCTCCAGCCCGGTTGGTTGGTTTTTTGAGACAAGGTTTTTCTGTGTAACTCTGCCTGTCCTGGAGCTCACTCTGTAGACTAGGCTGGCCTTGAATTCACAAAGATCCACCTGCCTCTACCTCCCAAGTGCTGGGATTAAAGGCATGCATTCATAAAACTCAGGACCGAACCCTAAGAGGGACCTACATGGATCCCTCTGGGAAGGGGAAGTAGACAAGATCTCCTTAGTAAATTGGCAGTGTAGGGGGAGGGGGGAAAGGGGAGTGGGGAGGAGAACTGAGGGATCAGGAATGTTGAGTTGGGTGAAGGACAAAGAGGAAGAGCAAAGAAAGAGATACCTTGAAAGAAAGAGCCATTATGCCTATAACCCAAGCGCTGGGGGTAGAAATAAGAGGGTCCTGGGAGCCTGATGGCCATCTAACATAGAAAACAAGGCAAACTTCAGACATTTACACACATGTGCATGCAGAGATACAGAGACAGATGTAAAATAATCGAGGAAAACACTAGATCTCCTCCTCTGATCTCTGCATATATACATATGTATATACTCGTGTACACACACACACACACACAAATAAAATAAATAAAAAACAAGATTGGAAGTCACACCAATCTCAAAGCAGAAGTAGGTGGAATTCAGTGAATTCAAGGCCAGCCTGGTCTACATTTTGAGATCCTGTCTCAAAAGAATTTTTCAGAATTGTGGTTAATACTGAATAGATATTTTTTTAATGCCATCAAAATAAATATGGATCAACATCCTGTCTGTAGCAGCCCTGGCTGCTCTAGAACTCTTTATAGACCAGGGGCCTCAAACTTGGAGTTATCCTCCTGTCTCTGTTTCCCAAGAACCGGATTGCAGGCGTGTACTACCACACCTAGATAAAGTTGTTTTTTATATTTTTTTATTTTATCACACTGGTCATTGAAATATTCTGGCATTCCAGTTGGTGTTTGTGTTTTTTAAAAATTGGGTGTCAGTATCTACCATGTCCCAGCCATTAGTTTAAGCAATGATGTCCTTCCTCTGGGCCATGCTCTTTAAAACCATGCACACGTGAGCCTGTGTATAGGAAATGAGAGAGAACATTACTGGAGGCTATGGGTCATAGTGGACATCTTTTCCCTTTCCTCTTGCCCTCTTCTCAGTCCCCTCCTCCCTTTTTACATTTATTTATTTTATGTGTTTGCGTGTTTTACCTGCATGTATATACACCATGTGCATGCCCGTTGCCTGAGGTCAGAAGATCCCTGAACCTGGAACAGTTCGGATGGTTGTGAGCTACCAAGCTGGGAACTGAACCCGGGTCCTCTGCAAGAGCAACTAATACTCTTAACCACTGAGTCAACTCTCCAGCCCCTTTTCAGATTCCCATGGATTTTTTTTCTTTTGGGTGTATGGATGTTTTGCCTGCATGTATGTCTGTGTACCATGTGCATGCCTGGTGCCAGAAGCCTGGAGATGGCCCTGGAATTGGAGCTCCAGCTGCCAGATGGGTACTGGAAATCAGACCCAGACCGTCCAGAGTGTAGCCAACACTCTTACCTCTCTCTAGCCCTGGAATAGTTGTTTCCAAGATCTGCATCAGTTGTCACAGACATTTATTTCAGCAGGTTTAGGTCAACATCATTCTATCTGTAAGGCTCTATTGCTAGACATGGCAAAAATGCCATGTCTTTCAATCAAAGGAAGTCTCCTGGCAAACCTGGGGACAGTGCGTATCTGGGCTCCCATCTCTGCCCTGGAAAACCAAGGGACAGTGGGTATCTGGGCTCCCATGTCTTTCAATCAAAGGAAGTCTCCTGGCAAACCTGGGGACAGTGCGTATCTGGACTCCCATGTCTGCTCTGGCAGACCAAGGGACAGTGGGTATCTCGGCTCCCATCTCTGCCCTGGCAGACCTGGGGACAGTGGGTATCTGGACTCCTATCTCTGTCTGCGGTCAGCCCTTTGACTTTGGACTGGTTATTTAACCTTAATTCTACTTATTCATCTAGAGCAAAGGTCAGCAAACTCACCAAAGGGTCAGACCATAAATTGTTAGGGCTGTATGTGTCCTATGGTTTTTTGTCATAGCCTGTCACCTCTACCCCCGTGGCATGAGAGCTACCCTCAGCAGAGTGGAAGCATATGTACATGGCCATGCGCCAGGAAAACAGCCAGCCTGCCAGATACGGCCCAGTGTCTGTAGCTGGCCAACCCCCACGGAAGAATGTGGAGGACATTATGGTTGACTGCTCAGTGTCTGCCAGACTCCAGCTGATAGCCTAAGTCCAATGAAGACATTCCAACCCCAGACACACTTTGGCCTGCGCGGGAGGGATGTGGGGAAAGGATTACCAGAGGCTTCTGGGAAGATAGCTTCCATACTGCCATGGGAAGCTGGCCTCTCTCAAGACAGGCATGGGCAGGAAGCTGACAGGGTTAGGAGGGACTGGCTCTACCGTCAGCTTAGGACACTTTGATCACAAGGCTAGCAGAGAGGAATCTCCCCAGACCTCTTTTAATGTGAGCTAGAAAATCTTCTGCCTTCTCTTTATTAACTTGGAACTGGGTCACCTGTTATTTCAGCTAACAGCCTCCCTGGTGGAAACCACGTTGGCAGAGTAGTTCTGAGACCGGATGGGAAAGTGTGTGACTGTGGCATGCTAATTAAAAAGCCTGCCACCGAGAATATCAGCAGGCACCTCACCGCTGGGGCCATTCGCACATACCTCTGGCGCGCGTGTCCCATGGAAATGGAAGCCTTTCATCTTCTTTTCCATAATTTTTTTTTTAGTTGCAAATTCTTGGTTCTCTTTGCTTGAAATTCCCAAGCCGTGTAAGAAATAACTTAGTGGGAAGAAAACAATGATTATTACTGGGAGGAAACAGCCTTGACCTAAAGGCCACCACAAGTCTGTTCCTTTCTCCCTCCCTCTTCCCTCCCTCTTCCCTCCCTCTTCCCTCCCTCCCCCATCCCCAGGTTGGCCTCTAGCTCACTTCACGTGAGACTCCTGTCTTTGCCTCCTGGGTGCTGGGCTTACAGGCATGAACCACCATATCCAGGTTTGACTACCAAATTTCTGTTTCTGCATAGTCCGGCGTAATGCCAGCTCTTTCAAGGTTCTCACTGTACCAATCATGGATGATATCATGCAAGAGTGTGTTAGGTCTGGCCAGACAGGAAGCATGAGAGAGGGATAGGCCCAGACTCGTACCTTCATAATTAACTCCCTCAGGAGCCAGCCAGGGTATCCTGGGCCCTACATAAGCTCCTTCCTTGAGTGCCGGCCAGCGTGGCAAGGTTCTGCCTCCTATGGAGCCCACCACACTAAGGACTAAACTCCCAAGTGTGAGCCCTTCAGGGACAGATAGGATCCAAGCCACAAAAGATTGAGGTTGCTTATTAAAAGAAAAAGGTGAGATAAGCCTGTGGCAAGGCTGAGGCAGGAGAATGGTTTCCAGTTTGGAGGCAGTCTGGGCTCTAGAACAAGTACTGCGTTAATGGGGTTATAACCCTGTCTTTTTTCTTTTTTAAGGAGAACAAAACCAATAAAACATGTTAAGTATAAAATTAACATACATAGCCTCACCCCAAATGTTTAACAGGAAAAAAAAAAACAGTATTTTTTCCATTTCTTTTAAAATTTTCCATGATGACCTAGATCCACGGGCTTTAAATTTTTAAGCAAGGAAATAAATCTAGCATAATATGTCATAATCTGCATTTCTTGCAACCATGTTGGACAGGTCCTATAACCAGGGATGAAGAACAAATCACGGCTCCAATTCAGATTGTCAAAGTCTGCGAGCTAATAGCACCCTGAGAACAGGGGTGATTGAGTCAGTGATACCTGCCAGGGATGGTGACCTTTATCAATGACGTTTCCTACAAGTTTGGGCCCCGTGTGTAAGGTTGTGTAATAAGGAAGTGGAGGGGTCCAGAGTTGCTTCTGCGGCTGTGAGACTTCAAAGACATTTCAGAATGCTCAGCTCGGAGCTGAAGCTTTGAGAAGTAGGGAGCCTCCCGCTGGACTTGTTTACAGAGCTCAGTCAGCTGCAGAACTCAGTTCAAGGGTTGGGCAGGGTGTGCGAATCTAGAGAGGCAGTGCTGACCCTTGAGCAGGCCAAGCGACAAGCCACCCAGCCAGTGAGACTGCAGGAAGAGCTAGGATTAGGGCACAGGACTCAGGTCACCAGCCTTGGTCCCCAGAGAAGGGTGGTGCCAAGCTCCAGTTCAGCCAAGTCTGATTAACAACAGGAGGACCCAGTGGAACCCTACCTTCTGACTCACATTTTCTCCTCTCCATTTTGCACATGTAAACCCCAAATGCTCACCCCATCCGTTGTTACCCATGCTTGCAACGCAAGGGCTAGGAAGCTCCAAGAAATCGTCCAGGCACCCGGCTAGAACACAGGAGAACAGGGTTCCTAACCAGGATGCAAAAATAAACATTTCCTCCTTTGGACTGATTTAGACCCAGTGTTTTTCCACAGCAACGAAACCTGAACAACACAACTTGGTATGAACCTGAAGAGCTATTTAACCAAGGCAAACAGGAATTCGCTTCTTTTCTGTATTATTCATGATCTCACCTTTCGGTTTCTTCCTTTTCTTTCTTCCTTCCTTCCTTCCTTCCTTCCTTCCGTCATTCCTTTCTTTCTCTTTTTTTAGATAGAGTTTCAAGTGGCCTAGACTGGCCTCAAGCTCCCTACATAGTGAGAATAACCCTGAACTTCTGATCTCCCATCTCTACCTCCCCGGTGCTGACACGGCATGCACACAGTTCCCAGTGTTTGCGCTACTGGGGAGCAAACGCCAAAGAACCTTGCCCACGCCCAGTCTACCAATGAAGCGTCGTCCATAGCCCTTATAAGACAGTCTTCTGATGGGTCTAGGGAAGCCAGGCCTGTCTTTATTCCTCCTAAAATTACTTGTTAAGTGAGCAAGGGTGGAGGACCTACAGACATCAGGACAGACCTACAGACATTTTCATGGGGAAAAAAAAACAATGTTCTATCTAATTTTTAAATAACTTTCAATTTATTGTGTGTGTGTGTGTGTGTGTGTGTGTGTGTGAGAGAGAGAGAGAGAGAGAGAGAGAGAGAGAGAGAGAGCCGTGTGAGTTTATGTGCACCACATTCGTGCAGAGCCCATGGAGACTAGAAGAGGGCTTTAGATCCCCTGGAAAGGGAGCTGCAGGTCATTGAGAGCCACTACCTGGATGCTGGGAATCTAAAGGAAGTTCTCTGAAAGAGCAGTGAGCGCTCTTAACTGCTGAGCCATCTCTCCATCCCTGAGATTTGTCTTTTATACATAGATACCCTGCACTGGTCCCTGCAAGCATTGCCTCCTTGCTTTGCACCTGGGAGCAGCTCTTTGCAGTTGAGCAATCCTGCCCTAGGGCTGGTGAAACACTCCCGGGTAACCACCCAGCAGGCCCTCAGATTTCCTGTTTCCCAAGAGTGTGCAATAGGGCTGGCAGTTACAGCTCTTGCAGGGCTGATGATCCATGTGTCCTCAGTGCTTTCTGTCCACAGACTCCATGCAGATGGTGAAGCTGTTCCCACAGCAAATCTGCCACCAGAGGCATAGGAAATCTTGGCAGGAGGCCCTGGAGCGCCAAGGGAGAGTCTCTCCATGATCTTGGCCTCCAGCCAACCCTTCCCCTCTACTGAATGAGGAAGGCATCTTCAGCAGACTCTGCCAAGATTGATGGGGCTCAGGCCTTCTCAGCGCTGGAACTTGGGGTGAAAGAAAGAAAGCAGGCACATTTTAACAACTGGAACCAACCATTTTTGGTGCTGTTTAATCATTGACGAGGGAGTGCCCCTTCCTGGAAGTTCCTAGCATCGCAGGAGACCAGCTGTCTGGAGTGTGTTTGCTGTGAGCATTCACTTTCTCGGGCAAGATCCTATCACTAACCAGGATTTCCATGGAATGAACAGTCCTTAGCAGACAAAACACAGAAGAAAGATGATCCCCCACCCCAAACAATCAAAGAGGTTCATGGGGCTGGCATGCAGCTAATCGCTTTGCACAAATACGCAGAACTGGCCCCGGTGGGGCCCAGAAGCAATGGATGCAGTTCTGGATTAGAGGTGCATGTGGTACAGCGGGGTCCATGCAAGCAGGGCACAAAGGGTCAGGACGGCCACTGTTGGTCTTGGCCTCCAGACTAGCCCACCTGCGGCCTCTAGAGATGCCTTAGGGAGTCTGACCCACTTAAATCTGGGGGTGTAGCGCAGGGTGGACTGTTTTCCTAGTGTTCAGTACTGTCTGTACAATCTGGCTATGGTGGCGCGTACCTATAAACCCAGCAACCAGTATCCCTGGCTGGCTTCGAACTCCCTAATGGAATTGAGAATGGCCTGAAACTCTTGATCTCCCTGCCTCTATTTCCTAAGTCCTGCGATCCAAGCTGTGCCCCCATAGTCTGGTCAAAGGGCCATCCCTGTTCCCTCAGAGTTCGCCCTCAGGCCAGTTTCCCAGAGGCAGTGAAAGACTCCTGGTGTGGGGAACTCTCACTCAAGTCTCAGGATAACACACACACACCCTCCCCCCCCCCCCCCCGCCCCAGTAACTCATGAGAGACCGTCCTTGCTGCAATCACACGAGGTTTATTGACAGGTACCAGTGCACTGGGGCCAAGACTCATAACCCACGCAGGGGAGGAGTTCAACCCCGAGTAACTGGCAGAAGGGGTTTTTAAGGGAAGAAACCACAGCCCAGTAATTCAAAGGGGTAGGGAGGGCATCATAGAAAATTCCAAAAATACCAGTGATGATCACAAGGGGGCAACTCCCTGCCTCTCAAGATTATTCTCAAGATTACAATCTAACTTTATCTTCAGCTAGTTCCTGAAACTGAACCGGCTAATCCTAGATTTCTGATTCTTCCCTCCCTGCTTAGATTTTTGGCTCTATTTTTTCCTGCTGGGGGGGGGGGGTCTGGATTTATCCAGGTCTTCAGCAGCAGCATCTTTAGGGGTCTGTTGTTGCCGCTGTGGTTTTCAATTTCCCGTGTGCATCCTGGACTCTGTCACGGATCCCCAGCTTGATGTCACCTCTCACCCAGATATTCTGCTCTCCTGGGATGTTTTTCTGAAGCTCCTAGTTAAATTTTCAGATTCCCGAGGACAGACAAACAGGGCCACCTGGGGCTTAGAGCCCAGCTTCCACTGAGCAAACCCCTGCTCTTTTCCCAAAGCCCGCCTCTCTCCTGTATTCACTTTCAGTATTTCTGTATTCACTTTTGCCGCGTTGACATTTATTTACCTTATTGGGCGTATGTGTTCACACTTACAGCTTCCGTGCTGAGATCAGAGAGTAACTTGCGGGAGTCGGTTCTCACCTTCCACCACACAGGATTCAAACGTTCCTTCTTCTCAAAACTCTGTGTGTGTGTGTGTGTGTGTGTGTGTGTGTGTTTATCTCTTTATTTTGTGTGCATGCCTGCATGTGCATGTGTGTGTGCACAGAACACTGACAACCCTCGGGGATGCAGGAAGAAAACACTAGGGCTAATGTTCACACTTTATAAAATCATAACATCTCCCTTTCCATTTGCATCTTCAATTACACATGCTATGTTTTACAGATAAAATGTTTCAACTAAGCAGTGGTATCTGCTCAAAAATTATTGCTCCAGCCCAGAAGTGTTCTGCCACAGGACCCTCCTGTGTGTCTCTGTTTTGTTTTTATGACAGGGTCTGGTGTACTCCAGGCTAGCCCTCACTCACTAAATACAGTGACTGACCTTGAACCCCTGATCCTCTGGCCTCTATCTCTCGAGTGTTGGGGTTTCAAGCAAGCACCACTATGACCCTGTTTTCGAAAGAGAACATGGTGATTTCCTAGAATCCACTGCCATCGTCCTCGGTAGATCTTGCCCTATTTCCAAAGCGACTCAACTCTTCCATTTATTTAGTTCTCTTTCTAGAACATATACATGCTTTTGGTCTTACAATTTAGAATATTTTTTTTGAGACAAATATCATTGTATAGGCAGGGCTGGCCTCAAATTCATAATGTTCCTGTCTCCATCTTCCTGCTGTTGGGTTATAGGAGTGTGCCAGGCCACCCTAGCAGGTGTTGGATGTGAATACAAATTGTCCTCATTTCAGCATATTTGGAGCTCACCGACAATAGAGATCGTATTTTATTTTCTCTGGAAGCCTAACATTGCTACACACAGCAAATAGACAATTATTGAATGAACATTTAAGGTTATCTATCATACACACAGCACCAAGATCAATCTTTTTGTTTCTGAGACAAGGTCATGCTGTGTAGCCCAGGCTAGCCTTGAACTGCCATTCTCTTGCCTCCATCTCCCAAGTGCTGGGGTTATAATCATCCAGCCCCACTCACAGCTTTGATTGATCTAAGGGGGCCGGGCAGTGGTGGCGCACGCCTTTAATCCCAGCACTCGGGAGGCAGGCGGATCTCTGTGAATTCGAGGCCAGCCTGGTCTAGAAGAGCTAGTTCCAGGACAGGAACCAAAAAGCTACAGAGAAACCCTGTCTCGAAAATTAAAAAAAAAAAAAAAAAAAAAAAGATTGATCTAAGAGGATGGAGAGATGGCTCAGTAGTCAAGGGCTGTGACTGCTCTTCCAGAGGATCTGGGTTCGATACCCAACATCTGCATTGCAGCTCACAACTGTCTGTAACTCCAGTCCCAGGAAATCTGATGTCCTCTCTTGGCTCCACTGGCACCAAATTATATATATATAGTGTGTGTGTGTGTGTGTGTGTATAATATATATAATATATGTATATACGTTGATCCTAGTATAACTTGCTGGGGTTTTTTTGTTTGTTTGTTTGTTTTGTTTTTTAGAGACAGGGTTATTCTGTGTAGCCCTGGCTGTTCTGGAATTCACTATGTAGAACAAGCTGTCTTTGAACTTAGAGATCTGCGTGCCTCTGCCTCCTGCGTGCCGGGACTGGGTGTCACCAGCACTGTCTGTCTTTGTTTGTTTATTTTGAGACATGGTCTCACAGAAACCAGGCTGGCCTCAGACAAGCTCTGCCTCCCGAGAGCTTGGGTGTGTGCTACCACATTCTTCTATAATTTGCTCTTTGAATAACCTCCTCTTCATAGAGCTTAGCGGTTATTTTTTTTTTTGAGCTTAGCGGTTATTAATAAAGAATCCTGGAAGAGTGAATGCTTGCTCTTTTCAGAAAAGGAAGTAACCTCGATCGTGTTCAGATTCCAGTCCTAAATAAATGAATAAATAAATAAATAATAGCCTGATAACTTGATTGCCACAAGATGGCAGAATAACATCGCAGTTCAACCTTAGGGCAGCTAAGACAACCCAGACATCATGGGCTACTCACTAGATGTCCCCAGAGAACAGGAAATGCCCACAGAGAAATTTTGACCAAAGTTGGTGTGGCCATACATCACCTGCTCTGTGTCTGCTGGTCTTTGGGAAGGGTGTTGGACAACAGACAACGCCTACCTCCTGAGGGAAGAGAGAGAGAGAGAGAGAGAGAGAGAGAGAGAGAGAGAGACCGCACCATGGCTCCAGCGCCTACACTGGTGGGCAGTCCCAGTGCCTCACGTACACCCTGGGGAACCAGGGGAAGTTAGCTTTGGGAAACCGGATTTGCCCGTGTTTCTCTGTGCCCCGCAG